CTTTGGGGGATCAGTGACTGTCATATTTGATGTTCTGTGTCCAAGACCTAGTGTACTCCCAGGAAGTTTCTAAAGGACCTGTGCTGATGTTAATGACAGTTAATTTACGAGTCTGATTTTTAGCCCCAGAAAGTTCATGCTAAAAATAAATATTTAGCCTTTCACACGCTCTCCCTTGACGACATTCATGGTGTTAAACTGTGTTTAGTCCTTGTACAGCTCTTCTTGGTGAGGGGAGATAGATAAAGTCCCACTTTCTACCCCTTTCATTCCAGTGGATGACCAGGAATTCCAGTCTTCATATTCCATGGAGTGAGCGATTACACAATGTTATACATTGATGACTTCTTGGACCTCAAGACCTACCTCCAAAAAGAGACACTGTTGGGAGAGGAAGGGTGCCCAGAAATGCAGCTGTGCCCTGGTCTTTCTGTAGCAGCTAGTACCGATCCAATGGTCGCAACAGAGGGAGCACATCCAAAGATCCTAACCCCATGGTCCTCCCAGGACTGCCCTTGCAGCAGTGCCTCTAAGAAAGCTGCCTGTGCTTTTCTAACGTGCTCTACCAGTGGATAGACTATGTAAGACAAATCTCTCTTCCCGTAGGTATTTATATAGGAAATACTCATTTTTTGTTTCTAATACTATGAAATTGATGGAAGGCTTGGTTGAACCATGCTGCCTAACTCTATATTGGTATGTAATTATGTCCACAAGGCACCGGTGCCACAGCCTCTTTCAAAATATTAGCTTTTTGCAGATACTGTTGCCTGGAAGAGAGCACGTGGTCTTGACAAAGCCTCCTCTGCAAGCAGTGAATCACAAGGCAATGAGACACAGGAAAGGTTAATCTAAAAACTCAAGGTGCGCAAAAAAGACAGCACTAATGTTTATCACCCTGCCATAGGAACGGTGCCCATAATAGCCATCTGTGGAAAATGGAGATATTCCAGCTTGTGGAAGGCACCAGAACAGCACTCTGGTGAATTAATCACACGCTGTTTGAGGCCTTCACCTCACATGTGGGATGCATTTCGTGTCTCTCAGATATTCTACGCTGAAAGCTGTGTGCCGAGATACTATGGACATCTTTCTGTGCACAGCAGTCACGAACCTTTCTCATGTATTTTTTAATCACAGGGGAGGATTATTTTTAGAACAACAGGGTCTGAAATTTAAATTTGTGCAGATTTTAAACAGGCTGATGTTTCTGAAGTCTTTTACACTGTCTGATATTAGGAGATTAGTTTGAGACAAGATCTTTTGATCCTCATAAAGGTTTAATGTTATTTTGTAGCTAAGCTGTTAATATTTGGCTAGAGATTTTATAGATATACGTATATGGTTTCCACTGAGGTTTTAAACTAAAGAGTGATTTCTCATACCCTTCATATCCCAGTCCAGATGTTCAAGTCCTAT